CGTGGTCTTTGTTGAAAGGATGTGGAAGTGCTGCAGGATGGGAGTCTCTCTCTTTTTTTTTTTCTTATTAGATACTTTTTCCATGTCTCTTTACAGAGCTACATTCAAGTTGACGTAATATAAGCCTGGAGGGGTTTGATTTTTGGTGCAATACCAATCAAGGATCATCATTGTATGACCAAAAACTTAGTAATAACAGTAAATTGAAAATAACTTTCCGAGTAATTAGTTTTGGTAAATGAAATTTTAATATTTTATGCCTGTGCATAAGAGTGTCGTTTCTGATTCGTGATTTGTTGAGTAAGCAACGTATATATTCATGATTAAAATAAAGGATTTTCCGTTTAAAAAATGATCTTACGTGGTGCCAAAGCTAAGGTTGTAGTTTTTTGTATCCCCAATTATTTACTCATACCATTATAGTTTTAGATATTTATGATCACTTTTTTTAAATCTGATTTCTAATGAACTCAATTTCCGAGACAAGATTTGCAAACATGACACATTTCCAATGGCTGGACGACGTCTTGCCCAAACCTTATATTGCCTTGATCGAGATCAATCGCCCTGCTCTATACAGTTGACTCGGAGCACTTACTTAAAAACCAGCTGGTGTTCCCCTCGTACTTTAAATTCCTCGTGCAAACATGAAATAGCTCCTAATGGACAATCAACTCGTCATGAATCGTTGACAGTCAAACGTCAACCAGCAAGCAAAGTTCGAAGATCGGAGAAAGGATTATCTGTAAACAAATCAGCAATCTCCAGCGGAATGACTCAATTGAAGGCACTAGTATTCCTCGAAGCGATTAATCACTGTCGATCATCGAAAAATGGCGAGACAAAAATGGGAAACATAGATAAGAGAGAGAGAGAAAGGGGCATCAGGAAAATTCGAAGAAACGTCAGATGAGACGGAGAGAAAAGCGGAAGTAGGCACGAAGAGTCGTGCAGCTAACAAGGGTCCCTGAGAAGAAGCATCGCATAGGTAAGTCTACGAAACAAGTGAGGTGGGGATAGAGGAAAAAAAAAAACGAGAGACACGTCGGTGGTGGCGTCGGGCGGCTGCCAGCGAGCGCATCTTCTCCGGGACTGGGGGACCTTTTTACCTCGGCGTATTATGTGTGCGCGGGGCTCCACGCCGCGGCTTGTCGCGCACGCCTCATCGCGTCCGAATGGACTATGGCTGCCTCTCACTCCCCTCGCTTCCACATAAATATATACACCGATACGTGTGCGGCAGGAGTTCCAGGTGCTCTGCCTAACTCGAGCGAGGGCCCCGGGGATGCTTTCTGCCACACTTTGTCACCCTTAAAAACTACGTGTACAGCTAGCTGCTTGTTCACCGCGGAGAGACTGAACCGGCAGATAGCACTCTCGTAAATAAAAACAGCTGCCCCACTCCCCTTTCTTTTTTTTTGTCGTAAAAAGTACGTGTGCGTACGCAAGGCTACAATGACTGGGATGGTGATGATGGTAATAGTTTTGATGGTGATGACTATGATGGCCTAAGCTTTGCTGGATGTATTTATATGAGGTCTTGCTGGGGCATTTCGCTTTGTCTATTTTTTTTTTTTTTTTTTTTTTTTTGCTCATTGGCTTAATCTTGGTCGGGTCTATTTTTGTTTAATTTTTATTTTTTTTGTTTTCCATTAAAAATAACAATTTTACTTTTTATTCTTGTCAAATCGATTGTATTTTTTTTGAAGCTCACACGAAATAGTTTTTTTTTTTTGTGTAAAAATTTTTAAGTGTCCTACTTATTAGTATTTAATTACTTACGAGATAATTACAAATTTATGAAGCAAAAATAACTGCCCACGCAATTACTACTGAAACATAAATGCTTTTGTTAGTTCATAAAGCAATTCATCTTACGGGGAGGGGGCTGTAGTAACATTTATGGAGACTTTCTGCTTCCATTAAATATTTTCAAGTGTTAACCATCAAGATTACACCCTCCTATTATAATTTTGAGTCCTACTGTCAGACAGCAATGACTTGAGTCACATTACTTTTGTTCTGAAAAAAAGTTAAACTTTGTTATATGCATATACGTCATCGATAACAAAAATAAAAATACAACTTAAGGAGCGAAAGCCTCCAATCGACTCTGTGATTTTTTTTCTATTTCCAACTATGCAGTACCAATAAAAGTATTTGACAAATGATAGCTTTGATAATATATTGACGAAAAAGTTGATATTTATTTTTATCGAAAGTTGTATATGACTTTTTATTTAGATCATAGAGTCAAGACAAGACTTGAGCTTTAGGAATCCACACACATTGGGAACACCTACCACCAAGTCATTAACGATATCTATTTCGTCACTAAAAATGTATAACGTTTTGAACAACGGTATTGTATGCTTGAATACACCTGCCTTTTACAATGGATACACCTTTGTAACTGTACGGGTCGCAGTTTCTCCTTTGCCTTACCACAAATTAATTGTAATACTGTCTAAAATATTGTAGTTAAGTTTCATAAATACATTCAATTATTGTATGCAAATATTCGTTTACCTGCAACTTGGACGATACAACTACTTAATTTTAGGAGAAAAAATTTATAATCTGAAGGTAAGTTTTGGTTTTAGTACTGGAATTTTTTTTTTCATAAAAGCCCCATATTCAATTGTGTTTCATGTTTGAATTCTTGACGGCTTAGCGACATAAAGTAATAATAAGGGCAAATGTAGAAAAAGGGCCATGTAGAAAGTTGACTACTCATATGTTTTAACCAATTAATCACGGTAATATAGTAGTTGAAATTTTCTAAATAATTGGCGTCCATGCAGTCAGAATTATTTGCAACTTTCTCTTTTCATTGTTGTACCCATAGACGAAGCTTCGTAGAGCAAGATGATTTTCACCCATTAAAAAGCGTCAAAAAATGCGTTAACATAAACCTCTCGCGTTAATATAAATCTCATTTTTGATATTAATAAACAACTTTATCCAAACTTTTTGTAATTATTTCGTAAGCATCCCGAGGCCATAGAACCCCACGTGACACCTTTAATTCTACCCGAAAATTTCATGAAAATTGAAAAAAGATGTAACAAAACATATGACGTCGGAATAAATAAAATTATATTAACGAATAAAAAAACTTTACAATATTTAACAAAAAAAAATTTCTTACAATTATTTGGGTCATTTTAAACATGAAAGGTTAAATGAATTTTTTTGTTTAATGCTTCAATTGTGTAGAAAAAAATCGGAACGTTACGCAATCATCGTTCTATGCACGCAATTTCTAAATATATGTTACTTTTCAAGCAACCATTCAAATCACATTCAGAAGTAGAAGTGTGATTACACCAGGCTACTAATAAACTATCGATATAAATTGTGTCAGCTTTGATAATACAATTTCAACATTAGTGCAATTTATCTTGCTTGCAGTAAAGAACGCAACCGAGGAAGACCTTTATTTTATTGTCTAATAAAGATATTTACGAAAAAATTTTTAAGTTACGTGCTTCATGCTAATAAATTTGAGATTTCATTTTTTCCTATGAATCTAAAATAGCGCTTTTTGCTCAAAAGTACGAAGTAGCTCTTTTTTACCAAGCCATTCATTTATTAAGTTGAAATAAATTCATTGTTCAATGTTCATTTTCATAGAAAACTATTCTAGTTTTCCAATGATCTAGTTTATTTGAAATTAATAAAAATCGGATTGAATGAAGTGACGTTTCAGTGACCATTTTACCACCTCTACTGGCATCTAGCCATCATTTTTCTCTCGTGAAAATATTATTTAAATAAAAAAAAATAAATTTACTATAACCAGAATACTTTCCACAAGAATGTCGTTTTTTTAGATAAAAATCTATCCAGTTATGTGAATATTTGTAACGTAGATTATAAAAAGTCGTGAGTAACAACACACAAAACGGCATAATGCATATACAGTAGAGTCATTCCGGGCAGGTGCACACACTTCAATATTTAAGAGATTATCAGGATCTAAAAAAGGGTTCTGGTTTTTATAGTAAGGTTTTTGATTATTTTATGATTAAATTAAAAAAACCTACATTATATTATCATTAAAATTACAAAAAAGCTAATAAACTTATAAAACCATGAAAAACATTTATGAATTTTGAAAAAAAATTTTAAAAAGTTGTTTTTTGTATAACTTTATCGAAAGTCTATCTTCCAGTAACCAATTTAATGAATAATTGATTCTTTGCCCTTCGATTCAATTCTATTGAGATATCAATAAATTATTTATTATATATCGACATCTATAACTCAAAACACATGAGCATCACGGACTGTCAAGACAATTGGATTATAATATTTGTGAAAGAAGTAAATTTTAATTATCTATTAATTGAACTCAAAAATTTCCGGAATCAAATCTCAAAAGAATACGTTCATATATCATTAGTTAATATTTTATTAATATATTTATAGAAAGTTCACAATATTTTCCTAAGAGGAAACAATAAGTTTAATCTAATAAGCATGTTATCTTCTTTTACTTTCAATTGAGACGAATCTTTGAATAGGATTACCTGTTTGTACTATTGGTGTGACGATCAAATGAAAAATTAAAAGTTGTTACCCTGACGCCAAATTATAAAAGAAGTATTAGAAGAGAACAAACATCATTCTTTTTCCGAAAGCTACAACAATATAGTTGCTGATTTTTTAATTCATAAGTTATTTTTTATTTTAAAAAATCGCCCTCCAATCAATTAAATTACGAATCACTCTTACTCAACATAGATCAATTAACATGTTTGAATACTAATATATTGTGAAAAATTATTTTATGATATCCTCTAAGCAATAACAATAACAAAAAATAATAATTGCTCTATCTTATACAGGGAACCAATCATTGTCGAAGTGCCTTCGTTATCAAATCATATGCAACGTCACCACTACATGAAAAACTATCAGCTACTGCTCACTTAGCCTATTCAATTTTAGCTAGTTTAGTTTTTTTAAGTTTCTGTGGCATAATTTTCGCAAATATGGCCAAAGGTATGAGTTATTACACTGGCAATGTATGCGGTAAAGTGTGCCAATCAAATGATAACATCAAAAGGCAAGAAGACATCCACTTGGACAACAAGTCTTACAGTTGCGGAGTTTGTTACAAGACTTTCATTATTAAGAACCACTTACCACTGCACGAGTGTATTTATAAACGTGATAGGCCCAACTACTGCAAACTGTGCTCGACCAGTTTTACTAAAAAATCGGATCTTACGAGACACGAGCTTATCCATACAGGTGATAAGTTCTACGACTGCAAATTGTGTTTAAAAAGATTTCCTGATAAATCCAGTTTCGTAGTCCACGAGCGAGTTCATACGGGTGAGAAGCCCTACAGCTGCAAACTGTGTCCAAAAAGGTTCTCTCAGAAGTCAAATCTCAATTCCCACGAGCAAATTCATACAGATGATAGACCTTACGAGTGCACCTTGTGTTTGACGAGTTTTTCTAAAAAATCGCATTTATTGAGACACAATCGCATTCATACAGGTGATAAGCCCTACAGCTGCACCGTATGTTCAAAAAGATTCACTGATAAATCTAATCTCACCGTGCACGAGCGAACCCACACTAGTGATAAGCCCTACAGCTGCAAGCAATGTTCAAAAAGTTTTAGTCGAAAATTCAGTCTCAAAGTGCACGAGCAGACTCATTCGGGTGATAGGCCCTATAGCTGCAAACACTGTTCAAAAAGTTTTGCTCGGAAATCGTATCTTCCTATACACGAGCGGACTCATACAGGTGATAGGCCCTATACATGCGAAATGTGTTTGACCAGTTTTGCTACGAAATCAGATCTTACGAGGCACGAGCAGACTCACTTTGGTAATAAGCCCTACAGCTGTGAACAGTGTTTAAAACGTTTTGCTCAAAAATTAGATTTAATGAGGCACGAGAGGATCCATACAGGTGATAAGCTCTACAGCTGCACCATATGTTCAAAAAGTTTTGTTCAAAAATCGCATCTTACTACGCACGAACGGACTCACACTGGTGAGAAGCCCTATAGCTGTAAACACTGTTTAAAAAGTTTTGCTCTAAAATCAAATCTTACTACGCATGAGCGAATTCACTCAGGTGATAAACCCTATAGCTGCAAGCAATGTTTAAAAATTTTTAGTCGGAAATCGCATCTTACTATGCACGAGCGGACTTACTCTAGTAATAAGCCATACAGCTACGAAGAGTGTGTAAAAAGTTTTGTTCTCAAATGTAATCTCAAATTTCATGAGCAAACTCATACGACTGAGAAGTATTACAGCTGTAAGCAATGTTCAAAAAATTTTGCTCAAAAATCGGATCTTACGAGGCATGAGCGAACTCATACGGGTGATAAGCCCTACTGCTGTAAGCAATGTTTAAAAAGTTTTTCTCACAAATCAGTTCTCATTGTACATGAGCGTTCACACACTGGCGGTAAATTGTGTACAAAAAGTTTTGCTCAGAAATCCAGTCTTACAGACCATGAACAGATTCATACAGATGATGAGCCCTACGACTGCAATGTGTATTCAGAAAAATTTAATGACCAATCAAATCTTGTAGCGTATGAGCGAATACACACTATTGATAACACCTGCGACTACATATTGTGTTCAAATAGTTCTACTCAGGAATCAAAGCTTACAAGGCACGACCAAAGTCACACGGAGAATTCATTAGGTGCAAATTCAATGTTGCCCTCATTTTCTAGTACTTTTACACGTAAATTATTTTCATAAATAAATTAGTTGAAGAATAGCTCACACTACCTGTTAAAAAAAACACTATGACAGACTGATATTTTAACATCTTGCACATCACGATCAAGGCCCATTTGTAAACCCCTAAACATACTACATTAATTCATGTTACTCGATAAATAGTAAATGTAATGAATGAATAAATATTAGTGTACTGAATTTTTTGTGTCCTTTATGCGGATTTATAAAAATAATATTAGTTATAGACAAGAAGCTCTTGTAAAAATAAAGCTATTAACTTTACTATTAAAAACAATGTGCTATCTAAATGAAAATATGAAATTTGAAAATTGTAAAAAAAAATATTTATTTGTAATGATATCATTAATGAATAAACACATTTCGTATCTTTCGTTAATTTAATACTTACCACAACTAACAACTACACTCATGTAAGGATTTAAAACTTATCACTGTGCAATTTATACTTGCAAAACGTTATTATACATCAAAAATATTTTTGTCACGTGATGAAGTCTCACGTATCCATCACGCTAATTAACATCAGATCACAACAATCAGTTTGAACAGTACTGCAATTTTTGGTGTATCTTGATCAATTAAAAGAATAAATTCTCATTTGTTGTAAAATAATAAACCATATAACCACTGAGCCTTTTAACATAAAATTATATTCAGTTTTACAACACTGCATTTCTTGTAATCATTAAACATTTGATCTTAAATATTAATTAATTTTTTAATCGTTAAAGTGAAATAGTTGTATTACGATAAAAGAAACGTTGAAAAAATTTTGTATTGGTTAATAATTTACAATTGCAATTAATATAAAGGCCGAAAAAAGGTTGATAAAATCTATCGTCTTTGGCCCATTTTCTGGCTGATAAGTTTATCAGGCTTCAATTTGTTTGGTAACTAAAAAAGTTACTAGATCCTGCTACCAATAGATAAAGAATTTATTGTCAAAACCTCTAGTATTCATACAAAAATTTTTTTTAAATACATCCTGAATATTATTAGACAACTTCTGCATATAATTCAAAAGTGGAGCGTTATGATAGTACACTTTGAATAAAAATTGTATTATTTTATAAATTTTGCATGGCATATGAAAATTGAAAACTTTATTTTCCTACACTACTATATATACTTATAACGTTGAGCTAATAAAAACTATACAGTGTTGGTTCATGGTCTCTACATGTTTTTAATTCTTGTGTTATGTCTTTCCACTATCGAAAAAATTACAACTGTACTAGTTATTGTAATGTTCTAAAATTAAATGATTTGTTGTGTATAGCTACTGTTTCTTGACAATACTTAAGATAACTTAAGATTAGTTTGGAAAATGCTACTAATTTATGTAAAAATACAAATATTAATATAGTCATTACTTTTAAATTTTGCAATAACCATGGATGCATCGTGTCCTTCTTACCTTAGACGGCTATTCAAGAAGGCTCTGGTGCAACTTGAATTATAAAAAAAAATATATATTAATAATAATTAAAAAATATCACGAAATAAATATGTAACTATTCGAATAACACATAATGTGAATCAAACGACTTCTCTCATATGAAAGTAAGTAAACATCATAAGTTTTGTTAATCAACGAAATGTTCATTTGATCCGTGTGTCACTGAGCCATACGGCCAGTGCTTGTTTATCATGTGAAAATGATAGCCATAACATTGAGTTACTCTACTAAATCGTGCGATATATTTTTTTAAATGTGCCAAGGTGTATTTAAGTATTTTTTTTTGGTTTAAAAAGCTAAAGTTTAGTATGGAGTTATGTTAAAAACTATGTTTCCAATTCACCAACCCTTCGAAATTCATCTTGTCCATTCAGGACATGAAGTTTCACCCAATAGTAAATGTCCACGCTTTAAAAAATTCTTCAAAGATTCATGAAATTTATAACAAATTAGACTGACGATAAAACCCCCCCAAACCACAAATCCAAATGGTTCCCTGTCGAAGCCAATTTTAAATTCAAGACATCCCTACCCCAAGACGTTGATTCACAGAATATATACTCTTCAATCAATTCCTCAATGCTCAGTCGTGCGCATCACTTGGACCGCAGGCTTATACATTAGGCGCAATTTCACCCCGACAAACGTAAAGAAAGGATCTGCCTCAAATTCAAAAGCCATTAATATGCACGCACGAGTCAGGACGCACGTATGAATGAAGGCAACGATCTGTGCCTAAGTAGACATGCACATTACAACAGCCACACATACAACTGATGCATATGTGCGGCTTTCATTAGCAAACAAGGCGCGCAGAGCCAAAATTACACCGATGCAAGGACTCCATTTTTGTCGCTCGCACGTGAGCTTATAGTACGTATCTCGTGACCCGCGCATTTTCTCGCATTACGCGTGTGTATGTGTCTCCATTTGGTCTCTTTTTTTCACAAATACCGAGCGACGAACGAACGCTCGCTGTTATTGTAGTGCCGGTAATGGCACCACAACCACCTCGTACACACCTTCGTTTCGTAGCTTCTCTCTCCAATAAAAACGCTGTGATCCGTTTTTCAAACCCTCACGCACACGAGCACATTCAACGGGAGGGCGGGGGAAAAGGGAACGAAATTTCAGAGGCTGTTTCGCATAAGTCTGTGCCCAAGTGCAGCTGGAGGAGAGGCCATCGGCGGGGACCGCCTCGGGGGGTAGGACGTAAGCCGCGACTAAGTGGCAACGATACTTTGGCCCTCGGCGACGGCTCGGGGCGCCAAAGACGGTCCGTGAGGTTTACATAGGCCCCTGCCGGCCATTATACGCGCCGCCGCCGTCGCTGATGATGGCGAAGATGAAACGCAGCGAATAACGTGCTTACGCGCGATCATCCGACCGCTACGCTTTTTTCTCCCTCGATGGCTTTCGTATTATGTATACACACGTATTATAGGTTGTATACCTATGTGGATCTAAGGGGCACCGAACGAGAGTCATACTGTGTGTATACTTACATGTGAGGGCTGTTTCTTCGTCTTGATCTGTTTCTTTTTCGTCTTGTGCGTTTTTTTTTTTTTTTCTCCAGTGGAGGAGAAGGAGGAAAAGGAGACGCGGACTCTCTTTGATACTGCAAAGTTGGCGAGCACTCGCGCGTACATACGCATATGTGCTTACGGTCGAGGTACAATGGGGCAACGCCGGTGTAGATTACCTTTCAGAAAGGGCGGTGTGACGTAAACGAGACCTGTACAAAGCCGCCGTTCGCTGACACGGTTTTTCGGGGGTGGAGGAGGGTGTTTTCACGCACAACGGCTCCAAGAAAACACGCGGGTTTTCCTTCTGCGCGAGCGCTCATCCCTCAATACTTGGCGTAAGCGCTGATTTTCTCGTTCAATTTTTACCGAACAGATGAGCGTGCCTTGTTCTGTTTCCACTATTATTTTGGGCTCCTGAACTATTTTATCTCTCTGTCTGTTAGTTTTTTGCTTTGCTGTATCCTAATATGGGCAGACGTTAGAGAGTTTTCATCGAGTTTCAAATAATGAACAATCAAAACGTGAAGTAAAAGTTGGAACAATTTATATTTAATTTACACAAAATCCGTACTGTATCTTAAAGGAATTATGTGATCTCTGTCAATAAATTAGATTTGATTTCTAAAAGTATTATGATTGCGTAAAATTATTTTTATTCCTCGTTGATGTACAAAGTAATTTCAATACAATAGTCCACCATATTTTAGCCCATCAATTCTCACATGTCATTGACACAATCTTCATTTCTTTTTCCTTCAAGGTAACAATGAAGGGATAATCAAAAATTCGTCTACCACTGATATTTCAGTTCCAGGAAGAAATGGAAAGCTGTAGAGTACGAGTGAAAAATCAGGCATTGTGATTCTTCTTGTGGTGCCGCAAGTGGTTGCACGTATTTTTTATCATTGAACTGACCGCTGGATTAGAACTAGAAACACTTTTTTTTTTTTTTTTTTTTTTTTTTTTTTTTTTTTTTTTTTTT